TGTTTGCATTTTCGCAAAGAATTTGCTTTCTACATTTTTCTTTAAGTGGTACTGTTGCTTCTGAATATTTTTTTGTGCTTTGTTAATATTTCATAGACTGTGTTTGGTGTTTTCTTGCTGTCAATATTTTGAAGTACTTGAAATCTGTTATTTCCATCTATGGAATACAATGTTCTTGTATTCTCAACATTGCTTATTTTATTGACCTCCCCAACCTTGTATATAATGAGGATCTTTCCAAAATTAATGCTTTTTATTTCATTATGCTGGCAGTAGATGTTGAACTTTGCCACTTTGTTACAGATAGCAACTGAGCAACAATTTGGCAAAATGGTATCTGACATGAAAATGTATATAAAGCAGAGGTGTGTCACTAAATTTCTCAACAAGGGCAGAAAAAACTGCACCCATTGGTATTTATCGATGCTTGCTAAATGTTTATGGGAACCAAATAGTAGATATGAACACAGTTAGGCAGTGGGTAAGGTATTTCAATGAAAACTTGCATTCGTGCAGATTTTAAAAGCAAGGCATACAGGCTAATGTTCATTGCTAGTGAAAATGCACAACTGATGATGGTGATTATATGGAAAAATGTTTTGTTTCTGAAAACTTTCTTTATCCAAAAGTCTTATGCTGTCTGTATCTGTTATAGTTTCTTGTAGGATACATTACTTTTGGAGTATTTTATATATATATATATATATATATATATAGCATATCTATGATGTTATCTATATAACATCAAGGAAAGTTTTTGGGCTATGCTGTCTTGTTGTATTCAATAGAAATGCTATGATACTCATTGGTATGCAGTTTACTGTGTCAGTTTGCCAATAGGTTTTATGCTATCTACTCATATTAATTATTATCTGAGGTTTTATTGGAATGGTTCTGAAATCTTTACATTGATATAATTTTTTTTTACAGCCTATCAACCTTTTGTAGCTTATTCAAAGCAAAAAAATAATTTTTAGATTGTAAAAATTATTTTTGAGAACATAATTCCCATAGCTGGCAGGTGAAGGGTATTTGCATGTAAGTGAATATAATGAACCTGACTGGAATTGGAACTTGACTCTTCAGTTTCCAATTCTGAGCTGTTATCCATCAAGCAGTCACCCATCTAGGTACTGACCAGGCTTGATATTGCTCGTACAAGAAACAGTGATATGGCCATGAAGTTCAGCAAATATGCTAGAGACCATCAAAATACTTTATCAGTCTTTTGGTAAACATTTTCTCAATTAAGCATGGATTTTTGAGTGGCATGCACATTTCAAGGCTGGTCAAGTATTGATTCAAGATAAACATTCAGAATGGTCATCTACCAGAAAATATGGAAAAAAAAATTATAAACATATGTGGACCATCATCAGAAAATCTAACATGATTGGAATCTGTTATGTAATCTGCCAGTTGATCCTCGTCCAGGAACTTTTTGATATCAATCATGCCATATCTGCTGCCAATAATAATATTTAAGGGGATTACCATTTACTGCAATTCATGCAAACTTCATTGTTATCCATTTCAAGCTGCAGTCGACAGCCTTCCAGTCATAATAACAGTTCACTGGACACAGTGCAATATTTGCATTTTTAAGAAAAAATTAAATGTAGGTCTTATATGCTGCAATATGGTGCTTCAATGTATTAGCCATTCTTATATTGTATGCATGAATCACTAATATATGATATAATGATTATTTATTATAATTTTAACAGTGATTGGAATGTCTATAAATCTCTGTAACTTTTAGTGAACATCTAATTAATGAACCATCATTATTATTAATTTTGACCAGTGTCTCTTTTCATTTTAATTTTTTTTTATTTACTTTTTATCCAAACTTTTCGTCCTGGGTAAGACATTAAACTATGTCCAGCAGCAAGGCCTCTGACCAGGATGTTTTGAGGAGCATGGAACCCCCTCTTAATTGCTGGTGTTCCCAGGTCCACCCTGAGCCAGGGTGATAGCACCAGTTAGGGTTCCAGCTATGGGTAAATAGTTAACTATTACCAGCAATACTTTTTTGAAAAAAATTATTACCAGCAATACAATTTTTGAAGGAAATATATTACCAGAAACAGATTTTTGAAAAAACAAAATATTACCAGCAATAAAAAATTTTGTCAGCATTAAGTAACCCATTGAGGTTGATATGCTGTAAAATAAACCAAACCAATCTAAACCAAGGAATAAATATTCTATTCATACGAATCTATCCTAAAAATGTTGTCGGCATTAAATAACCCATTGAGGTTGATATGCCCTAAAATCAAAATAAACCAAACCAATTATCCAAACTTTACCTGGGCTGTCAATCTACAGTCAAGAGTAGACAGTGTGGTTTTAAAATGAAGAATAGGTGCTCAGTGAAACTCAAATTCATATCCCTTTTATCTTGGGAAAGTCTGGTTGTGACTACCCAACTTGCTCTAACCAAGTGAGCTAGAAATGCCTTATAGCTTTCAGAAGATCAGATCTAACCTTAAATAAACTACTCTATTTCAAGATCCTATTCTTTATTTCTGATCTGCACTAACATAGATTGGTGGCAAGAGTAAATTTGTGCCAAAAAGCAATTGAAAAAAGGAAAAAAATGTATAAATTAATAATTGTTGATTATGCTTCATTTCAGAAAAAATAATATAAAATAAAAAGATACTAGTAGGAAAAGGTCATTTCTACTTAAAGCCAGAAAGAGACTGTTGAAATTTCTAGGGCACATAATGCAGAAAGAAGGCTTGGAGAATTTGACACTAACAGGACATATTGAAAGCAAGGAGGACAGAAGAAAGCTGTGAATAACCTACTTATGTAAATGGTTGTCAGAACAAGGATTTGGAGAGATAGCAAAAAGGAAAATATTACTAAGACCATAAAAAGGTAGGAAATTTTGGAGAACCATGATCTCCCACATTCTGAATGGACATGACACATATAAAAAGTAGCATAAAAATAAGAATATAATAAATGAATTAGTGAAAATATCTTTGTATAAACTTAAGTTTATGAAACACCGTATTAGCATTGAATATGTATATTTTGTATATGAAAACTACTGACTTGTTAGACTTAAAATAACTAATGAATGTTTTTAATTAATTCTAGATACATTTTTTTTATAAATTGCGCACAACTCTAAGTTTTTAACAAAATTATATCCATATGAGAGAAGATTTGAGAACTAAAAAAGCATAAACAATCCCAGTTTAATTTTCAACTTTATTATTAAACAGAAATATAAATCAAGATTATTAAAGTTTAAATTATGTTTCTCTTCCAGTTATAAGTCCAGAAAATACAGTTTGTGTGACTGCCACATATTGTAGCATTATTTATTATGGGTGTGCTAAATTGGAATTTTCAAATTGTTTAACTGATTTTGTTGAAATTCTAGTAGGAATCTAGATAACATTAATGCTCAAAATGCTTAAGATTTGAGTATGTTTGGCTTACTGTTCACAAAATATAAGTAAATTATCTAATATGATTGTGCATCTGTGTGTTGCCATTTGTATGTGTATTTTTATTTTTTTAAATCTGTAAAGCAAATTTTCTTTTGCATTTTTGAAATACAGAAATATATTTGCTATTGTTACTTTATTTATTACCGTAACAACCTTTATGAACAATTTATATACCTGAAAATAGGATCTTTGAGATTAATTGAGGCATTCTTTATGAATTTTTAAGATGAAGTTATCATGATTCTTTTAAACTTATATCTTCAGCTTTGTTTTTATCTTAAATTTTCATTTTTGTCATTTTTTTTTTTTTTGTCTTGGTTCTTTTCATTTATTGATTTTTCTCTATTTTCTCTGAATTTGCTAAAGTCTGGTCGATTTTTGTAATTTCCAATATCATTTGGTGGTTTTCTAAGAACAGCTTAAATGTTGCACAAGGCCAACAAAAGTATGGGGCACCTAGTAAGGGTTGAACTTACTGCTCAGTCGCAATTGATCTATCAATACAACCTTGCTAATCATTACACCACATTGAAGTGCCCCCATTTCCAGTTTCATTTTGACAGGGATCAATCAGCCTTACTGCCTTCACTGGATGGGGTGATGGACTTTGTGAGTCACCTTCTGATCTTTCCATCTGTTCAATTTTTGTATTTGGGGGCTGGTTTAACTGCATTGAATTTGTGTCTGTATGATTTATGCAGATCAAGCTGAATTCTGTTTCAGTCGTCTTCATCAGTAATTCTTTTGAAGAAGGCCTTGAGCCTTTGAGAGATATTGGATTGCAACTGATTTTTTATCCAACAGTTGTGCTGGATTCTTTCTTGAAAAAGGGTGTGTCCCGCTTTTTCTGTGACCAAATGGGCTCTCCTGGAATTTTTGGTGCCAAGCCTGAAGTGATTGATCCAAAAGTGACTTGACCCAAAGAGTTGGGAGTTCAATACCTAGCCACAACAGAGGAAACAAAAACAGAGAGTTGAGTTATCATTGGGAATTAACTAAAACTGAGATATCCAAAGGTATGGCATGTGGAATTAGAACACTCTACCCCCATGGACTAAATAAACAGTTTGGTTTGAAATTCCAAAAATATCACCTGAAGAAGCTCAGCATACTACAGCCAAAATGTTGTGAATATGCCAATAAAGATGAAGACAACAGCCCAAACAATGTAAATAGTGTAAAATCTTGACTGTATTTACAGAATGTAGGAATATTTTGTATATAAATTAATTTGTGATTCAATTAAAAATTCTTTCGAATAAGTACTTTAAGAGATTACATCTGTAAATGTATAATACAAGAACAATATAATTTATGCTTCAAGATTGTTTTTTTTTTGTTGTCTTATTAATTAAAGAAAACTAATGATTGAAAAAAGGATTGTAAAAAAAAAAAAAAAAGGTAATTTTGAGGAATTGGTTTATTAAAGAAATCTACTGACAGGAAGAGTAGTAATTTGATAAGCAATTAACTACTGTGTGTCATGAGCATTTAGTTGTAACACAGTCCATTCATCTATTTCAGGTGTTGGTAAAACATCACTGGTCCAGCTAATCTGTCACAATGAAGTCACTGTTGATCCAAGTTACACCATTGGATGCTCTGTGGATGTTACAGTAAGTAAGCCTTTCTGTTTTTCTGTAGTGCTTTATTTGTTGTTTTCTGTAACTCCATCAGACAATCAGCCTAATGAGCCATATAACAAAACTTGCCATCTAAATTCTGGTGAACAATGCGTGTTTGTTAAAGACCTTGGAACAAGGAATGAGATATGCTCAGAATGATATCAGAAAGAGCAATACAAATGAAAAGAATATGTACCTGTGTTTTATAGATTATGCAAAAGTATTTGATAAAGTATGCTAGGCAACCAAAACATATTTTGGAAGGATATTAGCATAATCCAGAACATATACTGGCAGCAGACTTCCTGTATACAGATAGAAATTTAGTTCAGTAGATATACAAAAATAGAAAAGGCTGTAAGACAAGGATGTGTCTTCTCACCAGACTTATTCAACCTATAGAGCGAGGCCATTGTGAAATAATTAGAAGTCTTACCAGGATTCATTATTAGTGACCACAAGCTTAACAAAATGATATGCAAATGACACAGTGTCGACAGCAGCTGTAGAAAGGAAAGTACAAGAACTCCTACAGAAGGTAGTGGAGGGAAATGAAAAGAAAGGAATAAACATCAATTCCAAGAAGCGAGAATGCATGATTGTTAGCAAAAGGGACATCCCAACATGCAAATTACAAATTGAAGATACCAAAATGAAATGAGTACAACAATTTAAATATCTAGCAAGTGTTTTAACAGAGAATAGAAAGTGTAATGCTGATATCTGATAGTGGATTGGGATAGCAAAAGCTGCCTTCAAAAAGCTAAGCAAATTATTAAGAAATAGGAAAATTTTGTTAGAAAGAAAGAAACATGTACTGAACTGTTATAGAATATCAGTCCTCTTATTCAAAAGTGAATGTTGAACAATCTCCTCACAGATGAAGAAGAAACTTGAAGCAATAGAAATGTGGTTTTACAAAAGGATGCTGAGTATGCGATGGACTGAACATGTGAGCAATGATAAAGTTTTAGAGAAAATGTAATCACAAAGGACACATAGTGAAGAGACAGTAGAAATTTTTAGGAAGCATAATGAAGAAAAAGAGTTTGAAAAATTTGTTACTTGCAGGACAAACTGAAGGCAAAAGTGACAGTGGAAAGCAGTTCATGACATACATTGTGTAAATGGATGGTGTAGCAAGGTAAATAAGATAAACGACAGGAAATTGTGGAGATCCATGATCACCTAAGTCCGGTAAGTACCAGTGTAAAAAAAAAAAAAAAAAAAAAATTGATGAAATTATATCCTCATAGGTATTCAGCATAAACATTTATTATATATATATATATATATATATATATATATATATATATAAAGCCATTGGTGAAACCAACAGGCAGTTTGCCAAAACCTAAATTCTTATCCAGATACAGTCTGAAAAAAAGGAAAAAACAAGGACAGAAAGCAAACTTCCCTACTCAGTAAAGTGCTTGAAGTCTAGATTGCCTAGGCCGAGCAAAAAAAAAAAACACTAACCAATATTCAACTTCTCTAAAGATCATGTTGCATGAAACTTGATTAATGATTAGAGCTGTCCTTGCATAGGATTTAACATTGGCAAGTATGTGTGTAATCTATATAATTAAAGGTAAAACAACATATTTTGAAATCTAAATTATGGTCAGGCTTATGACATGACTAGCAACTAATACATTGAGCGTGTTGTTTTTTAAATGAACTCTTTTGTGGTCTTTTATTTAAATTCCTTGAGATTTCTCCTCTGTATTCCTTGTGGCAATCATTACAGGAGTAAATTCCTCCTTCAAGTATTAGCGTAATACTTTGTTCTGTATTAAGTCTCATTGTTTTAGAAGTAGTTGCAACAAGTTTTTTATGTTTAGCTTAATTAAAAGAGAAAGCAATTTACTAAGATGAACATCTACAGTAAATTTGCATCCAGGTTTTTACATTTCACCTTTCTTTGTGGATCTACTATTATCACAATGTGGGATACTGAATAATAAAGCTGATAAAATCAGAAGCATGAGGAAACTGAATGAAATTGGCTAGACTACATGTTGAAAACATCTGAGGAAAAAAAATATTTAAAATTTAAAAGCTTCAAAATTTCAACACTCAAACATCAACATTATTTACACTGATATCCTCATCTTCATTGCTATATTCACATTTCGTCCGTTGTACACTCCGGCCTTCTTCAGGTGGTTGGGATTTTGAACCGAACCACTTATTTTGTCCACTAGGGTAGATTGTTTTAGTTCCATGTGTCATGCCTCTTCTGGATGTCTTTCAGTTCAAAATTCCAGTTAACTGAAGATGGCCAGAGTGTGCAATGGCCAAAATGTTGTGGTCTATTGCATTTCTTTTCAGTGCATAATTTATAACAGACATTTGTGTTTTTTATGTACACCCTCCTGTTCCTACACTTACATAATTCCATGAAGAGAACTTGGATATAATGTAATTGATCTAGCAAGACAAGCTTGCTAGATCAATTATGACCGAGTAATGAGTTCAATCCTCACTGGGGAGTGGTCCTTACTTTCAGCCTCATGCCACATCTAAGCTATGCTTAGTAAATTACTATTTAGGCACTGTTACAAGGATGCATTTCTATAATAATGGATTCCACTGAGTTCTACTTGTTATTACAAAAAAGTTTTCATTCATGAAGTAGTTGTAAAATAGAGAAATTAGAAATAGAATGTTTGGAAGATTCTAGATCATTCTAGTATATTTGAGAAAAATCTAGAAATATGCAAATTAGGTGTTAGCCCCTATAAAAATGGGATTTTGGAAAAGGGTAGTTAGTTGATGAAAAGAATTTCTGCTGTTATCAACTCCGGCTTTTGATTTAAGGACTATTATATCCAGCCGAAAGAATCTCTCTAAAAAGTTGCCGACCAACAAAAACCCAAAAGAGAATTTCATGGAACAAATTTGGTAAATAGAATTTTGACTAATTTTCATTGACCAAACTAAAAATTAATATTTATTTACACACCTTTGTGGATTTCCAAATATAGCACTTAGATTACTTCGCTAGCCCTAAAGTGATATTTGACTCCCTTTCCTTCTTCCTCGTAACACTTTGCAAGTAACTCTGTGTTTTCTGTTTTGTAGGCGACAATTGATTATTTTGTTTTTGTATATATTTTATGTTGTGTTTTACTAAATTCAGTATTTGTTTGTGATATAACTCTGTGTCGTGGTAAATCTTTTTTTTCCTTTGTTACAATTATCAACACGCAAGAGGCACTTTGATATGATGCAATGGTTACCAAGTTTGTCTCAGTAGATTAATTATAATTGAGTTTTATCCTCACTGAGTACTCCATTTTTTTGGCTTTGCACCGCATCTAAACTATGCTTAGTAAATCACTATATAATTCCATCAACAAAAACATTACTTTAGTCTAATGAAATCGTACAGGATGAAATGTATTACACAGAATTTTCCACTTTGTTCTATATTTATCTTATATTATAGTGTGTGTGTATTATTATATATATATATATATATATATATATATATATATATATATATAATATTATAATATTTTTTGTTTAAAAATGATTCCTTCGCTACATAAGAGTTCTCATGTTTCAAAAACGAGCGCCAAAACCATCCAAATAATTTTTAAAATTAAGTTGAATTAAGGTGTTCAGTCTCGTTTCATCTTCAAGTGAAATTTTAGGAATAAGCTATCTCTTGGTTTACGTGTTTTTAGGCATGGTTCGTTATAACATTCATTATTGTGGGAGTGGCTAGGCAAGTTATCTTTGTTAAGTGGTCAGAGAGTTAATTCTTATCTATAGATTCATCATCTTCTGAGAGGTTTTGCTCAGGTTGGGTAGGGTATCTATTTTAAGGCTAATGTTGGCGGTCATCCTCTAGTTAGTTCCCAGTGAGGGATACTAACTACTTTGTGTGTGGACACACACATGTATAGATTTATATGCACATGAATGCACACATGTGGGTGTGTAGTTTAAAGTTTTCTCTATTTTTAAGGGTAGAGTGCTCAGCATTCGACTATTATAGATATTGTAGTCATGGTCATAGGAATTGACAATGCTCACTGCCAGTTTCTGTCAGTCACCATGTAGTGTTGATTCCAACGTATACTATCTCTTTGTTTCTATAACAACTTTTCTCAATGTGCACAGATATGTTGTGGACCCGGCAGCATGCAGTGCTGGTTTATTACAAAGTGGCCTTGTGCCAGACACCACACTAAACTACCGAGTCCACAAGCAATGTAAAAAAAAAAAATGTAATAATGCGTGAATGAACAGTGAGAGGAAAGGGGTCAATCAACGAGTGCATAAATTAATAAACATCAAAGAGATAGCCGGAATAAAATGACAAAGACATCTGTTTGTAAAACATGTGTAACTTTAATTAGATGGAAACAAGTAGATTTGGAAAAAAGGTTCCGCGCCAAAATAGAAATGCAAGATGAACAAGGCGGGAAAAGGAGTTTTATAAGGTTCTGGAAAAAGGAACTCATTAAACATGAGGTGTATGTGCGCACAGATAGAAAGGAGTATTCACTGTGGATTTTTTTTTTGGCGTTGTAAGTGTGTGTGGTATTTTTGTGTTCAGGTTCATAGTTAGAATGTTCGGTCGTCTCAGAGTTTTTGGTGAGGCATTGAATTGGCTGCTGGAAATTTTACAGGATTGCTGTGGGCATCTAGCCAGGAGGAACAAGGAATGTTTGAAGCGAGTTTCATGGTCTTGTGGAGTTGTTTACGGCGAGCCCAGGGAGATGAAAAGTGTTTGTTCGTAAGTAAGAATATCCCTGTCTGTATTTACTGGTTCACTGACGAGGGTAAGTGTAAGTCACCTGTTGAACACGAAGTTTTGCCCACGACTGTGTCGTGTGTCTCGAACATTTTCTAGCAGAAAACGGAGAAGGTCTGACCTGCGGATAGCAAGTTGTTCGTCAGTAGGATATCCCTGTCTGTATTACGATTGACTGACGAGGGATAAAAAAAATAAGCCACTTGTTGAATACGAAGTTTTGCTCACGACTGTGTCGTGTGTCTCGAACGATCTTCTGGTCAAAAACGGAGAAGGTCTGACCTGCGGGCAGCTTCAAGACGAGAAGAAGTCTTGGTAAAGTGTGAAGTCGACATTGTTGAAATAAGCTATTCCCGCCCACATATGGGTTAAGGGCGCGGAATAAATGAGCGTCCGTCTAGTTGGGTCGAAAGTCGGATGGCAACTGGCTTGCAAACGCTGGCCGTTTGAGACGCCCTGCGAACGCGCGGGAAAAAATTCAAAATCTGTTAGTCTGACTTCATCAGGAGGAGCTAAGCGAAGTTCTTCCTCAGGTCACTGCTACGTCTAGCTGTGAGAGGAAGGAAGGGTGAAAACCAGCGGCACACACACGCACGAGTGTGAAAGGAAGGGAGGAAACTCGCGTGCGCGTAAAATATAGATGGAATTAATGTGTTAATTCCATAGATACAACACTCTGATAGAAGGCAAAAGTACCAAGTCACAATGCTTTAATTATAAGCACAGAAACTACACTAATCGTATGCAGAATTGCCGATCCAAACATCAATAAGCCAGTCAATATAATATTTACTGTATTTTTTATTCTATAAGATGTATGTTTTACAAGGGACTTTTTTTTTTTTATTGTTGGTCACTGTGACTTCTCTTAGTCCTTGGAACTTTCTGTGTTTGGTGTGTAATGTTTATTTTTTTTTATTTTTTTGTTAAAATATGACTTATATCTGGAAAATAAGGAACTGAGCTTAGTATCATCCGGTTCACACTCCAGTCTTTTGAACGTGAGTAGAGGATTATCTTTTATTTCTCATTCAAGATTGGGTTTCCAGTTCCTTCTAAATCCTCCTTTCACTCCCAGTAGCCACTTGCATCTTAGTGGCATGATCACCTTGCTGGGAGTAAATTGATTAAAAAAAAAAATATCATCAGACTACAAATATGCACTATTTAGTGAACATTAAGATTACAGTGGTCTATTAAACCTTGTTAAACATTGCACCATTTCATATCTACTGATTACTGTTCATATAGACCAAAGTGGGATCCATGTACCAATAAAGGAATCTGAGTTGTTGTTCTTCATAAAATAATAAATATCTAAGGCAAAACTGATTTATGCTGTGGGATTTTGTCCAGCCTTGTTAAGAACTTCATACAGGAATTTTGTTTTAATAATTTACACCTTTTCTCTTTTTAACTGTCAACATTATGATGATCTGTTACACATTTGTATCTAATTTGCATATGTTTGGTATCAAATATATATATATATATATATATATATATATATATATATACTTTTGCCATATCTTACATCATGTAAACCCCCTTCCCTCCTGTCTTTTATTTAGCTTTTTTTATGGAGTTAGGTGAGTTACAAGAACTGGTTGTTTACAGTCTAAATACACTTACCAGATACCACAGCTTAACATATAAACCCAGATTTTTATTTTTTTGAGGGGGTGATATCAAATAGGGTAATTAAAAAAATAACTAAAAAGAACATAAAAAAAAAACTAAAAATAAAAAAAAAAGCACAGGTGCTAATTGTAAATCATCCTATAGTGGGTCATTGAGAGTATTGTGTTTTCTATTAAGAAAAATACCTGAGAACCAGGTTGTTAATTGAGGTCATATAGCTGCTATATATGTTTTCATGGTTATTTTCTAGGCAATTTTCAGTTGACACTATACAGTAAAATAATCTGACTGAACAATAAATATATAAGTAAAACTAAGTAAACTTGTGTAATCAACTGTGAAGTTAAATAACATATTTTATGAAGCATGAAGTCAGTGATGAAACAAAACTTTATGAATGATGAATATAAAGATAAATGTATGAATAAACTTGGAAAGAGAAATTATTTTGAATTTTAAAGTTAGTGAGTTAAGTCCTCACCAGGTGTCCCATACTGTCAGCCTTGTATCACATATAAGATGCTTAGAAAATTATTTGGGCACTTCAATGTGGTGTAATAGTTAACAAGTTTGTTTTGCTAATTCAATTACAACTGAATAGTGAGTTTGATCCTCACTGCCATACTTTCTGCTTTGTATCACATCTAAGCTAAGCTTAGAAAATCACCATAGAGGGAGCAATAGCCATATTGATTTTTCTGCTTGAAATATAATCATGGAATATGAGAAGAATATTGTAAATAATGAATATTAGTGACGTCATCAAATTTCAAATGAAACATTTCTCTGAAAATACAAAGTGTATGATCAATTATATCATAACAAGACTGACTTGTCTTTTGTACCTGAAATATCATAAAAAGAAATAGGATAATGGTGAAAATGGGTTATACCTCCCTACATTCTTTATAATAAATCAAGCGTCCTCATAAATTCAATCAAAAAAAATTTACTTTCATTCTGACTTTTAGTATGCATTCATTCAATTATTCTCTTCCTTTTCTAAGTGAAAAAGAAATATTTAAAAAAGCAAAAATGAAATCAGATGAATAAAAAAAAAAAAAAAATCGCCATTAATGAAAACTGTTGTCAGTAGCCATTAAACTTGAATACCTTGCATAATCAGAATTTCTTGCTTGGTTAAGGAGTGATTGGTGAATATTTGAAATTGTTTTCAAACCCTGCATTCTTTAAATTTGCCCAGGGATTTCATTCTGCATAATTTAGTGGCAACAATTTATATTACCACAAGCTACTTGCACTTCTGTTTTGCAGGATAAATTTCAACCATCACAAATTTATTTTTCTGTTAAAAATAAAAAAAATCGTAGAATATGACCTTGTTTTATTAAAAATTCAAGTGCACAAGATTTTGAAAAGTCTAAGGTACATTTTGCAAAATTCAAATCGATACTTTTATAAAATAATGTTTTGAATGTTACTGTATACTAAAAATAAGTTAGACTATTATTACTATTATACACAAAAAATATATTTTTTTTTATTATTAATATTGTCCAAATATCAATGTTAAAAGCTGCCATAAGCATTTTATGGCCAACTGGGGAAATGATTAGATAAGTGCGTGTAAAATAGAAATTATGAAGATAAATTCAGTGGTAATAACGGAAGCTAAAAGTCTTTGTAAATATTCAGTTCTCACCTTTCAATCATTTCACTCTCACCTCTTGCATACACTTCTTCATTTTTTCTCTCTCTCTCTCTCTCTGCTTCTGTCCTAGAACTGATTTCTCTCTCTGCTTCTGTCCTAGAACTGATTTCTCTCTCTGCTTCTGTCCTAGAACTGATTTCTCTCTCTGCTTCTGTCCTAGAACCCATTTCTCTCTCTGCTTCTGTCCTAGAACCCATTTCTCTCTCTGCTTCTGTCCTAGAACCCATTTCTCTCTCTGCTTCTGTCCTAGAACCCATTTCTCTCTCTGCTTCTGTCCTAGAACCCATTTCTCTCTCTGCTTCTGTCCTAGAACCCATTTCTCTCTCTGCTTCTGTCCTAGAACTGATTTCTCTCTCTGCTTCTGTCCTAGAACCCATTTCTCTCTCTGCTTCTGTCCTAGAACCCATTTCTCTCTCTGCTTCTGTCCTAGAACCCATTTTTCTCTCTGCTTCTGTCCTAGAACCCATTTTCTCTCTCTGCTTCTGTCCTAGAACCCATTTCTCTCTCTGCTTCTGTCCTAGAACCCATTTCTCTCTCTGCTTCTGTCCTAGAACCCATTTCTCTCTCTGCTTCTGTCCTAGAACCCATTTCTCTCACTCTCTCTTATATTATAACTCATTTCTTTCTCTCTTGTCTACTCTATCCTATAACAGATTTCTCTCACTCTCATCCTATAACAGATTTCTCTCACTCTCATCCTATAACAGATTTCTCTCTCTCATCCTATAACAGATTTCTCTCTCTCTCATCCTATAACAGATTTCTCTCTCTCTCATCCTATAACAGATTTCTCTCACTCTCATCCTATAACAGATTTCTCTCTCTCTCATCCTATAACAGATTTCTCTCTCTCTCATCCTATAACAGATTTCTCTCTCTCTCATCCTATAACAGCTTTCCTCTCTCTCATCCTATAACAGCTTTCCTCTCTCTCTCATCTATCCTATAACAGCTTTCCTCTCTCTCTCATCCATCCTATAACAGCTTTCCTCTCTCTCTCATCCATCCTATAACAGCTTTCCTCTCTCTCTCATCCATCCTATAACAGCTTTCCTCTCTCTCATCCATCCTATAACAGCTTTCCTCTCTCTCTCATCCATCCTATAACAGCTTTCCTCTCTCTCTCATCCATCCTATAACAGCTTTCCTCTCTCTCTCATCCATCCTATAACAGCTTTCCTCTCTCTCTCATCCATCCTATAACAGCTTTCCTCTCTCTCTCTCTTCTATCCTATAACAGATTTCCTCTCTCTCTCTCTCTTCTATCCTATAACAGATTTCCTCTCTCTCTCTCTTCTATCCTATAACAGATTTCCTCTCTCTCTCTCTTCTATCCTATAACAGATTTCCTCTCTCTCTCTCTTCTATCCTATAACAGATTTCCTCTCTCTCTCTCTTCTATCCTATAACAGATTTTCTCTCTCTCTCTCTCTCTTCTATCCTATAATACATTTCTCTCTTCTATCCTATAATACATTTCTCTTTCTCTCTCTCTGTTATCCTATAATTCACTTCTCTCTCTCTCTCTCCTATATTATTTTCCTCTCTCCTCCTTTTTCTATCTCTCCTCCCTTCTGTCCTATAACTCTTTTTTTCTCTCTCTCCTCTCTCCTATCGTATAACTATTTCCTCTCTCCTATCCTATAACTCTTTTCTCTCTCGCACATCTTGCCCTTGTTTCTTTCTCCTCTCATGCCCTTTCTTCTTCTCTTGTCCATTCTGTCTATTTTCTCCCCTATTCAAGTACTGTGTGTGGTTAAAAAAAAAAAAATGTTGTAACTAAAATTCTGGTTTTTCTCAACAGGTTAGGCCATATTTATGATTTTTAAGAAGGAAATATTTCTCATAAAATATATATATATATATATATATATATATATATATATATATATATATATATATATATATATATATTGGAGAGGTTTTTTTAAAAAATGGCAGCTCCTACTGCTATTAAGCATTACTCTTCAAGTATGAATTGAGTTCTCTGAGCTGCAGGTGTATTTCGTATAGAGAAAACCATTAACATTCCCTTCCTTTCTGCCATGTGACGAGAGCCTAGAGGTAAGATATCTGACAGATGTCAAATCAGTCGGGTTTCAATCCCATGTCTAGCCACACTGATTCGCTGTAATGCAGTGTAATTCTGAGCCATTATCCATTGCACCATCTGCACATTCAAGCTTACTTCCGAATAGTCACCCATCTAGGTATTGATCAGTCCCAACATTGCTTAACTTAAGTAATTGTACAGGAACTTGTGTTTCAATGTGATGTGGCCATAACACTTCAGTTTGTTAGTTTCCAATACTGAGACACCAAAGATTGAACTAGCCACCCCCTACTAATATACTACTACACAAACCTTTAAAACCTTAAGAAATACCTGCTTGTTGCAAACCACAATTTTGAATTATATATTTCTGTGTAAAACAAATTTTTAAACATTTTATATATATATATATATATATATATATATATATATAGATTTTAAAGATCCACAAGTAAAAATATTTTTTTTCTAATAAAAAGAAATGAAAGTGGTTGTTTTTATTAATAATTCTTTGTAATATTTATCAAAAAATTTGATTCATGAAACTTGTGATAATAACAATAACATTGGTTTAATTTGCATTTAATTATAACTTTGAAAAGTTAATCCTGAAATATCTTAACATTCTAAAAAATGTTACATAAAATATGATTTATATAAGTTATATAAAAAAAAATTAAACAAATCTAGTACATGAATGAATGACAATTTTAGTTACCTTTTTAATATTTAAACCTTTTTCATACAGACCAATCAGATGGGGTTGATCAGACATGTACATTTGTTTACTTTCAAATCTAATAATACCAATTGGCCATATAGGAATATACGTTATTAAATCAAGTAAGGCAACACAGCAACTGCCATGTAGCAGTGGCATGCTTCAAAATCAGTAATTTATTATGTGATTTTTCTGTTAATAGGTAATTGAATTTTAATACCATGACAACAAGGGCAAGAATTATGAATGCCCAGGAGGTTTTGCAGGTTGTTTCTGACACTGTTAATGAATTTGAAGTTGATTGGTTTGGGGGGTGGGGGGGAAGAGTGATAGTTGAATTTGGTTCTAAATAATGACTTGAAATTTAATAGCATTGGAAGTAGGCCAAATTCATGTACTGTCAATAGCAATACATACTGTTATATTTATATATATATATATATATATATATATATATATATATATATATATATATATATATATATATATATATATATACACAAGTTACAAATTAAAAAAAATAATGATGTTTTTTATGAAAGTATTTATTTATTTATATATATATTTGATATTTCAGATTGACCTCAATCTTTCTTCAGAAATAACTGTTTGTTACAAATATATTAAAATTACTGTTTGTTTACAAGTAGCATCCGTCACAAGACGCGGACATCACGTGATATGGAATGCCACTGTGTTCGAATATTCCTAACGTAAATCTAACTGTAATAATGTTCTAGATTGCGTCTAGCATGAAACAGCGTGTTGCCTCTGAGTGTTGACTTCAATGTTCACTTTTATATTTACATACGCTCTATCTCTGATATTGAGCACTTTATCCCATAAATATAGCGCACCTTAAAACTATATTTATTCATATATATATATATATATATATATATATATATATATATATATATATATATATATATATATATATAATAATGAGAGAGAGGGTGGTTATCTTTAGTATATTGCTTACACATTGAATTTAAGTTAAAAATGCTAAAATTGAGAAATAAATTTAGTTTTAATGATATAAAAAAAATTAATGACCATCATGAACGTGTTTCTAACATTATTTGAAGTATATGTCCTTTTTAGATAATGTATTGTACAACTGTGTTTATTTAGTATTATGAGTATTTATGCCTTGTAGCATTAAAACTATGTTCAGACATTCAAAGTAATTAACAGTTAAATTAAAGAATCCACTCATGAGTAACTGTCTTTGTCAAGAGGATTAGTTGCTGGCTTCATTGTCTGACAACCAAATCTCTTGCATTTCTTTTTTTTTTTTTCTTTTTTTGATTTCTTTTTTTTTTTTCTTAAAGTTATTTTAAGTTATTTCTTGACTTAGCTTTCAAATAAGTTACCCAAGATCTTTATGGCTTTTTTTTAAAATGAGAAATTTATCTAAATTTTCTATTTCCTTGGTTTGTGAAAAAAAAAACAAAAAAAAACATGTTTACCAAATGAGCTACACCCAAGATATTTAAAATTGAAAATTCATCTTTTGAATTTTGCTAATTCCTACTTACCATATTTAAAGCCTATAATACTTCCCGCACATTTTACATTTAATATTAGAGCATTATGGAATTAGGCTAGGTAGCAGTAGCCTTTGGCATCTGGGTTAACATTAGCTTATCAGATATATCAATTTTACGTATATGACCCAGGAGATTTTTTTTAATAAAATGCCATGGAGTCTTAAATACCAATAAAGTATGGTATTTTAATTGTTTTTAATTTTTGTTTCTGTAAGGCAAATGTATATAGTTAATAATCTCAAGGAAGGAGATATATATATATATATATATATATATATATATATATATATATATATATATATATATATATGGCTCCATCCAGCTCTTATCTTAAATAACAACTTAAGAGACTGTTTGACCAACACACAAGGAATGTTAAAAAGATAAAAAACAAATGAAAACTACAGACAAAAGTTCATTTTCTCCATCAAGACATTTATTTCTGTAGTTCACTGCTACCAGCAAGCAGAAATATTTCTTCTCCTGATGATGGCCATGTTGGCCGAAACTAGTCAAGGAATCTAAATGAAATAATAATAATAAAAACAAAAGAATATTAATCTACAACCCAGTGAGTCTGAAGATTTTTAATTTTAATTTTTTTTATTCATAAAAACATGCACACACACACACACACACACACACACACACATATTGCCCTGTCGGCTGGGGCTTCAGATTACACCAACTGTATCTCTGCAAAGGATAAACTACATCAACATCCTGTGTATGATGATAAACTACATCCAACAGCAAGGCCTCTGATCAGGAGGTTTTGAGGAGTGTGGAACCACCTCTTAGTTGCTGATGCTCCCAGGTCTGCGCTGACCTGGGGTGGTAGTGTCTGTTAGGATCCCAGCTATGGGCAAATAGTTAACCCCTAAACAGAACATTATAAAAGTGTAAAAATAGATTTTTTTATACCAGCAATATATTTCTGGTAAAAAAAAAAAAAAAAAAAGTTACCAGCCATGAAAATCTTGTTGGCATTAAATAACTCGTTGAGGTTGATATGCCATAAAACAAAACACGCACACACATACATACACACGTATATACACACACACACACACACACACACACACACATATATATATAGCCTTGTTTTTGTTTTCTTTTAAAAATAGTTCTGGCTGATAGAAAGTAAATAATATATGGACTTCATGTCTTCTTCAATGCTAACACACTCACTGATAAATATACATAAAAATCCCATTTGAAAAGGACAATAGCATCATTAACCCAGTTTTTTTTTTTTTTCCAGCAAAATTTGCCTTTTGATATTGAGAGATATGAAATCGTCATGATTCTGTTTTTGAACATCTAAATAAAGTGACAATGTCATCTTTACTCATTTGCACCCCATCCTTTTTTTTTTATTCTCTTTTTAAATCTTAATTTTTAAACACAAGATGATAGTGTCGTTCAGTGGTGTGAGGAAGGTTTATTGAAAATTCTGTTTGATCATTTGTTGCTGATAAGAAACAAATTTAACCAATATATTGGTTAAAGCAATTTTTTTTTTCTTCTCAATGCCTTCTCAGGCATAAACTGTAATCTGTTGCCATTTGAAGATTCTGTTGCATTTTAAATTCTCTATTATTACTGCCATGTTTCTTTTT